GTTTTCAATTCTTTTGGAAATATACTCAGAAGTGGAATTGCTGGATCACATAATAGTTCTAATTTTAATTTTTTGAGCAACTCCCACACTGTTTTCCATAGCAGTTGCTTCATTTCATAACCCCAGCAACATATGCAGTGCTTTTAAATTGTTTTTACTTTGCTAGATGACTAATAATATTGAGCGTATTTTCATATGCTCCTCATCTGTTTGTATATTCTCTTGTGTTGAGCCTATTCTATTGTGTTCTTATTACACATTTGGAGAAATTCTTTATGTATTTTGGGTAAGAATATTTTGTCAATTACATGTATTACAAATATTTCTCCCATTGTACTACTTGCCTTAATCTTTTGCTGAAATCTATTTTAAATGTTTTACCTGCTCCAATATCACGGAGATGTTTTCTTTAAAATCTTAGTTTTATTTTTCATTTTTATTTTTATTTATTTGTTTTGTTTGTTTATTTATTTATGCCTATAACACCTGGTCTCCCTAGGTGTCTCCCATCCAAGTACTAACCAGGCCTGACCCTTATTTTTCATTTTTATTTTTATTTATTTGTTTTGTTTATTTATTTATGCCTATAACACCTGGTCTCCCTAGGTGTCTCCCATCCAAGTACTAACCAGGCCTGACCCTTATTTTTCATTTTTATTTTTATTTATTTGTTTTGTTTATTTATTTATGCCTATAACACCTGGTCTCCCTAGGTGTCTCCCATCCAAGTACTAACCAGGCCTGACCCTTATTTTTCATTTTTATTTTTATTTATTTGTTTGGTTTGTTGATTTATTTATGCCTATAACACCTGGTCTCCCTAGGTGTCTCCCATCCAAGTACTAACCAGGCCTGACCCTTATTTTTCATTTTTATTTTTATTTATTTGTTTGGTTTGTTGATTTATTTATGCCTATAACACCTGGTCTCCCTAGGTGTCTCCCATCCAAGTACTAACCAGGCCTGACCCTTATTTTTCATTTTTATTTTTATTTATTTGTTTGGTTTGTTGATTTATTTATGCCTATAACACCTGGTCTCCCTAGGTGTCTCCCATCCAAGTACTAACCAGGCCTGACCCTTATTTTTCATTTTTATTTTTATTTATTTGTTTGGTTTGTTGATTTATTTATGCCTATAACACCTGGTCTCCCTAGGTGTCTCCCATCCAAGTACTAACCAGGCCTGACCCTTATTTTTCATTTTTATTTTTATTTATTTGTTTGGTTTGTTGATTTATTTATGCCTATAACACCTGGTCTCCCTAGGTGTCTCCCATCCAAGTACTAACCAGGCCTGACCCTTATTTTTCATTTTTATTTTTATTTATTTGTTTGGTTTGTTGATTTATTTATGCCTATAACACCTGGTCTCCCTAGGTGTCTCCCATCCAAGTACTAACCAGGCCTGACCCTTATTTTTCATTTTTATTTTTATTTATTTGTTTGGTTTGTTGATTTATTTATGCCTATAACACCTGGTCTCCCTAGGTGTCTCCCATCCAAGTACTAACCAGGCCTGACCCTTATTTTTCATTTTTATTTTTATTTATTTGTTTGGTTTGTTGATTTATTTATGCCTATAACACCTGGTCTCCCTAGGTGTCTCCCATCCAAGTACTAACCAGGCCTGACCCTTATTTTTCATTTTTATTTTTATTTATTTGTTTGGTTTGTTGATTTATTTATGCCTATAACACCTGGTCTCCCTAGGTGTCTCCCATCCAAGTACTAACCAGGCCTGACCCTTATTTTTCATTTTTATTTTTATTTATTTGTTTGGTTTGTTGATTTATTTATGCCTATAACACCTGGTCTCCCTAGGTGTCTCCCATCCAAGTACTAACCAGGCCTGACCCTTATTTTTCATTTTTATTTTTATTTATTTGTTTGGTTTGTTGATTTATTTATGCCTATAACACCTGGTCTCCCTAGGTGTCTCCCATCCAAGTACTAACCAGGCCTGACCCTTATTTTTCATTTTTATTTTTATTTATTTGTTTGGTTTGTTGATTTATTTATGCCTATAACACCTGGTCTCCCTAGGTGTCTCCCATCCAAGTACTAACCAGGCCTGACCCTTATTTTTCATTTTTATTTTTATTTATTTGTTTGGTTTGTTGATTTATTTATGCCTATAACACCTGGTCTCCCTAGGTGTCTCCCATCCAAGTACTAACCAGGCCTGACCCTTATTTTTCATTTTTATTTTTATTTATTTGTTTGGTTTGTTGATTTATTTATGCCTATAACACCTGGTCTCCCTAGGTGTCTCCCATCCAAGTACTAACCAGGCCTGACCCTTATTTTTCATTTTTATTTTTATTTATTTGTTTGGTTTGTTGATTTATTTATGCCTATAACACCTGGTCTCCCTAGGTGTCTCCCATCCAAGTACTAACCAGGCCTGACCCTTATTTTTCATTTTTAGATCTACAATGTAACTTAAGTTATTTGTGTGAAGTAGGGGTTAGGATTCATTTTTTTCCGTATGAATATTTACACAGTACCATTTATTGAAAGAGCTACTTTTTGCATTGTACTGCAGTGTCAACTTTATCATAAGTCAGGTGACCATATTCATATGGATCTCCTGAGCTCTCCATCCTAGTCCATTAATCTCTTTATCTGTCATTGCTCCAGTACTAAACTATCTTAATTTCTATAGCTTTACAATAGATCTTAATATCTGGTTAATCACTTTCTCTGTCTTTGTTCCTTTTCTTGGCTCTTTTTGGTTCTTCACATTTTCACATAAACAAGTTTGTTTTTACCCAAAACAAACTTTGGATAGGACTTGATTAGGATTGCATCAAATCTAGAAATTAGTTTGAGGGAAATTGACATCATTACCATAATGACTATTCCATGAACATGGTATCTCTCCATTTATTTAGGTCTTCTTTAATTTCTTTCAATAATGTAGTTATAGGATGTGAGGGCGATCTGGCTGCGACATCTGTCACCCCATTGATCACCAGAGTTGATTCAGCCAATCTGGCTGGCTAGGCTGGTGTCCCCTTCCTCATCGCTCCATGTGCATCCCTTCCGAAGCAACGCACTCGGTGGAAGAGGACGACCTTATCCGATAGAGGAGAGGACCGTTCTTCCGTCAAGAGTATAAGTGTAGCGATGCTCCCCTGCTAGAACCTCCAAACAAGCTCTCAATAATGTAGTTACAGTTTTCAGAGGTCTTAACATAGGTTTAATAACTTGTCTTAATTGGTTAAGACTGCTGTGAAAAACACCAGACTGGGTGTTTTTAAAAAACAGAAATTTATTTCTGTTTTTAAAAAACAGAAATTTATGTTTTTGTTCTTAAAATTTATGTTCTTAAATTTATGTTCTGTTTTTAAAAAACAGAAATTTATTTCTCACAGTTTGTGTTTGGAAGTCTGAGGTCAAGGTGCCAGCCTGGTTGATTGGGTAAGGGCTCTCTTCTCTTTGTGTCTTCACATGGTTGAAGCAGCTAGGGAGCTTTGTGGGGTTTCTTTTTTAAGTATACTAATCCCACTCATGAGGGCTTCCCGCCTATGACCTAATCACCTCCCTAAGATCCCACCGCCTAATACCATCACATCGGAATTTAGGATTTAATGTATGAATTTTAAGTAGGCATGAATATCCATATCATAGCAATGTTTAAGCAATTTGTTGAACCTAGATCTGAATTTAGGGACTCATGATGCTTAATGTTCTGTTGTTCATTGAAGGAAATTTGAAAAAATCTGGAAAAAGCACAAATACTATGAATAAATAGCATTTTAGCATTTTCCATATGAAGAATGGATCAATATAACTCTGTTGTTGGTTTGACAACTTGAAAATTATCTGGTATAATTTTTTTTGATACAGTATATATCATTTTGTATTTAAGCTAATTCAAAAGCAAATGTATTCTTATTTGGCTGTAAAAGGACATATAAATATAGAAAAAATTTTAATATAAATAATTGTGTTTAGGGGGAAGGTCCTAAAACCAACTCTACTCAAGGGATGCCTTGGTAGCAATGATTGTTAACCATCTGGAGTGACAGAAGAAAGTGATATTGGGTAACTAACATCTTAAGAAGTTTCATCTCAAGTTTATGTAATTTAGCAACAAAAAATAGAATATTATGCTATTGGTTGCTCCATTTTGGTCACGGGGTGGGCAGTTTTATCAGTTATTGATTATGTACTGATTAATGTGGTCAGTCTCTGCTCTGTAAATTTGTAACATAGAGGGAGTTTTAAACAGTTGGATGATTTCATGTTGTGTCAATATTTTTATGCTTTTTATTAACACTAGAGCCAGTGGGCAATATTTTAAATACTTTTGAAATCTTTTAGCATGGGTATGATGTGGTGCAAGTTAAGTGGATAAATATTCAAAATTAATTGTGTTTTGCATTCACCATGTCAGCTGGACCACTTTAATCTTATTATAAAATGGGTATGATAAATCCTGATGATGGTGTGGAAAAAATTACAAGAATCGCAGGAACATTGCTTTATATATTAATTATTCTATTAAACTGTTCACTCAAGGAAAAGATCCATAACTTTCCTCAGATGCTAGATTTCATTGCTCAAGTTTATTTTTAATATTGGCAGTCCTTGAAATTTTTCATCTAGTTAGATTTGTCCCATTGTGACATTTGTAGAAGAGCAGAGCAGATAGTTAGGCACTTTTCCACAGGATCCTCTGTTGTCTCTTTTATAATACTGTATCAACAGTGAAATAAACACAGATTGCTTTGGTTTACTTTTACAAATAATAACCACATAGCACAGATTTCTGTTCTGCCTGTTACTTGTTAGTCAAGTGACGGGATACTCCGTGATGAGTTGTGTGGAGGAAGCTAGTTTGACAACTGAAAGTCCTATAAGCTTCTCAACCCTGTGAGAAGTAGTAATTTAAAAAATAGATGCAGTAATACAGAGCTTTAAAAGCAATATGCATTGTATTCAACTTTAGATTCTTTGTTTTCCAGAAATGAATGCATTCTGCTTTTGCAGGTTTTAAGAAGAAGCAGTGATGAAGAGAAAGTTCTTTGTTTGGTTCGGGAGCGTACAGGCCACCACTGTCCAACAGCCGTGATGGTGGTGCTCATCATGGTATGGGCCGGCCTCCCTCTTCCAGACAAGTTGTACACGGAGCTTACAGAAAATCTAAAGTCATACAATGGTCATCCCACAGACCGAAGATGCACTCTCAATGAAAAGTAATCAAATCTGTTTTGTACTGTTTTTACATTCAGACCTGTATTGTGTAATGTTAAATTGTTAATTAATTACCAACTATATATACGGGAGAACAGGATTTTAGATATTCTGCAACAACAACAACAAAATGAACGTTTCTTTAAAGAGAGACTTGATTTCATAGTGAGTTAAGACCATTTTAAGATATCCTCCATTAAAATATTCATTTATTGCTTCTTTCTTTGATACTTGATCCCCTTTACCCCAAAAGTTGGAAGCAGGGGGATTTTTCAGTAAAGAAAAAACTCCTCCACAGGGAATTGTATCATTTTGCATTTCCTCTAGCAATGTAAGAGAATATCTCTTTTATACAGTTTTGCCTATGAGTATATTGTAAAACTTGAATTTTTGCCCATTTAATAGGTGATCAATGGCATCAGTTTACTTTTAATTTGAATTTTTCATATTATGAATGTGAGTATTTTTTCATATGGTTAAGAGCTATTTGCCATTCTTTTTCTGTGTGTTTTGGTCAACCATCTGTTAATTATTCCAGGCCACATTTCTAAAGGATTGTTCACTTCAGAGATATTTACTTTTACATGTCGAGGCTATAAACCTTTTGTGATATAATTTCTAAATGCTTTTGCCAGTTTGATATGTCTTTTTACTTTGGCTTTGTCATCTTTTTGCAAAAGTTTCCTTTTTTAAATCTGTCTTTTCCCTGATTTGTGTCTCAGTTTTGAGTGGTATTTAAGGACATTTTTTCTCACACAAGTTATAGAATAATTCACATATGTTTTCTTTTTGTACTTGTTGAAATCACAAGTATTTAAAAACATAAATAGCTGATGTATTTAAAATTTATGCTGGTCAGTATTAGGAAGAGGAGATTCATTTCTATCCTTTTTTTCATTTATCCCAACAGTACTTTCTAAATATCACTTTTTTTTCTTGATTTGAATGCTACTTAGCCGTATACAAAAATTACATATGTAATGGAATCCTCTCGTATTTGAATTCTGTGTCATCGTCCTGTCTTTTTAGGTACTTAGTACCACATTTTTTTAATTACAGAGGCTTTGTAATATATTTTAATGTTTGCCATTCTTGTTCTTTTTCAAGGCTATCTTTGTTATTTTTTTTTCTTTGTGCTTCCATATAAACTTCATAATCAATTGTGCAGTTTTAACATAAATCTAATGATATTTTTCGTGGGATTGCATTAAATTAATTTATAATAAACTAACATCTTTATATTGAAACTTCTTATCCCATAACATATTTTTTTCCCATTGTTCAAGATTCCTCGTGTGTCCTTCAAGAGTGCTTTATGTAGTTTTCCTCATACAGGTCTCTCTTTTTTAAAAAGAAATGTCATTATTCAAAGTGTAACAAAAATATGTATCATCCCTTCTCTAATCCCCACACAAGATTAGAATATTCCTTTTGCTTATATCATCATTTCATTATATTTTTCTTATCTTGCAAATGCCAACAAATATGTGCACATCATTTTTAATGTCTGCTAATTATTTTGTTATGTGGATGCAGAATAATAATACCTCTTTGAAGACACTGCTTTAAAGGTTACACATATATTGTCTTATTTAATCTTCCCAAGAATCCAATAACGTAAGTTTAATTCTGTTTTACCCAATGTAGATCTAGCATTTTTTTTGTTTCTGTTCACTGAAAAGACATAAGAATACTTCAATGAACTTTTATATACCCCTTACCTAGATTCCTATTATCGATTTTTTTTTCTTCTGGATTACTTGTGATCTAGTTGCGTACTTTATGTCTTTCTTTTTTCCCTAAATAATACTTTATAGGGTATTTTCTAAGAATGAAGACATTCTCTTACATAACCCCAGTATAGTGATCAAAATCAGTAAATTTAACTTCAATAAAAATACTATTATAAAAAAAATGCTATTATCTAATCTATAGTTCATATTCAAATATCATCTATTTCCCAATAATATTCTTTATAGTAATTTTCCCCTACCCAGGATTATTCGCATTTGGGTTGTCTCTTAGTCTCTTGATCCTTTTATCTCAGTCCTTCGAATTTCATGGCATTGACATTTTGAAAGGGAATGGGCTGATTTTATAGACTGTTGCTCCATTTTGGTTTGTTCAATTGTTTCTTCCTGATTCAATTCAGTTTAAGAATTATTAGCAGTAATACTACACTCAGTCCATAATATTAGGACCTATTTTAAGTCAATCTGTCACAATATCGGTGACGTTGACTATTTAAGATATCCTGAGGAAGCTCTTTGAGATCTCATAATCTTTCACGTTTCCTGTGTTTGATTTTTAAATAACTTCAATTGTCAAACTACATTTTTCTCTCCTTCTCATGTATTATTTCAATGACATAAATAAGTTACTTATTTTTTTTATTTACTTGGCAACTTTAATTTCCTTTGCAATTTCAAGTTAACTTCTTTGGTCTCATTTGCATGCCAGTTTTCTTCCTTATCAAGTTATTATAATATTTTTCCCCTTTAAAATGTATTTTCCATTTTGTAAGATTTAAAGAAAGTTAGAATACTGGAACTATTTCTTTTTTTATTTTCTTCATAGTATCTTGAATGATCTTTTTTGTATTCTTTTTATATTTGATGTTATCTTACATGTCTAGCTTTTTTCTGACTTTCACAATTGAAAATATTAATAGTTTTGATCTTTAAATTTCCATATTTCTAAATTTCTAATTTCTTTCCATTTTTTTAAAAAAATGTTTTTTATTTTGTTATTTTATTGAGGTAACATTATCTAATAACATAAACTTCAGGTTTACATTATAATTTGATATCTGTATACTCTGTTTAGTGCTTACCACTAAAAGTCTAGTTTCCATATTGTTTGTATTTTTAAATCATTACATAAATGCTACATACATACTATTAGAAGTTTCAAGCATTATGCGAATAGGAACCACAGAGTATATGTTATTTGCTTGGTTTCATATCTTTGTATCATCGACATCCTTACTATAGAGTCCATTTTAGGGCTTCAGAATGCCCCTAAATGATAAAGTTACCAAGTTACTGAAACAGGCTTTTCTGCTCAATTTTTCTCTTGTGACATTCGTAAAGTCTTCCTTAAAAATTGACAGAGTGATTTCACAGAGTATATATATTATACTTTATCAATCTTTAGAGGATTATATCAATGTCATTCTACAGATGGAGGAAATAAAGTTCAAAGAAGTCATAAGATGCTCTAGTCTTCATTTCTGCTAGGGAACAGATCTAGGATGTAAAATCCAGGCCCTTTATTTCCCCTCCTGAAATATCTCCAAATCCAAAGAGATTATAGATATTTTAGATCTATATAGTTTATTATTATTTATTTGGATTTACAATCTTGACCTATAACTAAATTTTTAGTTAAAAATTTACATACAGTTAGTTTATGTTAACATAACTACATTTAGATAAAATAAGTAATAAAAGAGATGTGTGCAAATCGGTTCATTAGCCATCCATACTTTTAAAGTTATATGAACCTGAAATGTTCTGTCTGAAGTATTGTCCTGTTTTATCACTTGATTCCCTTGCAATTACCATCTTACAGTCGTACCTGTACATGTCAAGGAATTGATCCAGAGACTTGCGGAGCTTCATTCTCTTTTGGCTGTTCATGGAGTATGTATTTCAATGGCTGCAAATTTGGTAGAAGCCCAAGCCCTAGAAGATTTAGAATTGATCCAAGCTCTCCCTTACATGTAAGTGTCCTTTTTACTTTTGAATTCAACAATGGTTATATAAGTACATTCCTTTAAAGTGTTTTTAAATAGTAAAAAAATTAAATATTAAAAAGTAGTGACAAAAGAGTAAATATGTATATATATGTAAATAGTTTAAAATTCTAACCAAATTAGGTAACGTCTTCAACTAGCAACCCAAATTCCAATTGTCTCTGGCTCCCTCCTCCTTCTCCCCTAACCCCAGAGAGAATCATTGTTAAAAGAACTTAGAATTTTATACCCAACCAAAGTAGGAAAAATAAATAAAGCCATTTGCCAACATTTCAAAGACTCAGAAAGTTTACTACCCACAGAGCTACTATGAAAGAATTACTAAAGGACGTAATCCAGAAAGAAGATATATGAAACCGGAAGCAATCTGTCCGGGACACGAGGCCATGGTGAGCAAAGAAATTAGTCAACCTTACTGTTAAGTTTAAATAAGTTGAGTACTTACATTTTTAAATTAAAAATAATAACCTTTAAGTATAATTCCATACTCTTAACAACTCAGGGGTGGGTAGGCAGTGGGAGGCAGGGTGGGGCACCTATAAGAACTAAATGTGTTAATGTTTTATGCTTTGTTTGGAGTGGGGAGTATTAGATACTGGTTAACTCTAAGATCAGTGTTTTTCAAACTTTGAGCTGTGACCAAAAGTAAAAAACATTTTATATCACAAACCACTGTACAGATATATACAAGTAAGTAAAACAAAATCATCAGAAAAGAAGATTTGGCCTTATTATATGTAACAAAGAAAATATTTTAAAAATTAAGTTAATGTATAATACAGTTGTTGCTAAGTATCACTATGATGCAGTATAATTTTTATAAAATTACATATTTTGAATGCTAATTGTGACCTTCTAAACTGATTTCATGGCCCACAGCTTGGAAAACACTGTTCTAGATATCAGAAAAACATTTGGAAAAGTGCATGTTTAAAAATTTTTAGATGAATGGAAATAGAATTTATAGCTTTGAACTAGTTGTGGGAAAATAATCTTTAATAAGAAAACCATCCATTTATAAATCAGCAAAAGGAGTTTACAGAATCTTAGGATATAGGATAAATAGAAAACAGAAAACAAAACAGCAGTAATTAATCCAACTATATCTGTAATAAAATGAATATAACATTTTTCAAAAAAGCTCAGAATTAAATAAAGATCACTGTAAAGAGGTAATTAAAGTTATTTAGCATTTTCTAGAGTTCCCATCTACTGCAATAAAACAAGGAAAAAATGAGAGAGAGAGGGTAGGAGAGAGAGAGAACTATCAGTTGCATATAAAGTACCATAGAAGTCTAACAAGAAGTATGTTAGATTTTAGGGAGAAAACTATCAAAATTTAATAAGAAAGATATAAAATACCTGAAAATGAAAAAATACCATGTTGAAAGATCAGAACACTTGGTAATGTGATGTCAGCTCTCCCTTAAAATTAACTAGTTGTCTTTCTAAACATTATAGTATGTTGAAACTGTTAATATATAAATATATTAGTAATATTGACATGACTCATATATTTTTATTCTATAATAATAATACTGTTATTAATAAATGCGAGATCAGTTTTTGCTTATGGTTATTATTGATAACGAGTAACATTTATATAGTGCTTATAATACAGGAAGAAGCATTGCTCATTCCAGGAACTGACAGAAGGCCAGAATGAAGCTCAGCAGGCAAGGGAGAGTGAGGTCCATACAGCGTCCTTGTAAGCTATGTCAAGGTTTTGGAAGATTACTGAAGGGTTTTAAGGAGGAGAGTGATATAATTAATTACACTTGTCTTTTAAAGAACTCTCTCTGGCTGCTCTTTGAATAATGAATTAGAGTTGGATGAGAGTGGGTTTAGCAAAATTAGCTAGCTATGAGAAAAGTCCAAAGATGGGCTAATAGTGGCTTGGATGATGGTGGTGACAGAGGAAACAGTGATCAGTGGTTTCTCTTGAAAGATTTTTAGTTGGTTGTGCTATTTCTTGACAAAGGTTATGCCGAAATAGTATCCGGTTTGTAGAGGACAGATTATGAATTTATTTCGGACACAATGGGTTGGAGATCCCCTAAGGGAATTCCAAGTAAGGCTGTCAGGTCAATAATAATAAGAATCCGAAACTCAAAGGGGTGATCTGTGGTCCAGGTGGTTAATTGTAGCCATGGATGTGGATTTGATGGTCCTAGAGATCAGATAAAGGGTGAGAAAAGTAGAGAGATATTGGCTTGAGCCCCAACAGGTAAAGAACGATCTGAAAAGAAGAAATCTTGTATCTGACATACATATTTATTCTAATGAAACAATTAGAAAGTCAGGATTTTTACAATTTGAATGAGTCTTACATTTATAAAATGATACCAGTAGTAACAGACTTTATCTGATTTGTTTCTATTTGCCTACTTTTTTTTAACATTTCCACCCAATAAAGGAGGTATTTCATAAGATGTCAAATTAGTCTGACTATGACACTGGATGGTTCATAAAATTCTACTAGCAGTAAAACACAATTAATGCACTCCACCCAATATTTCAAATGTTAGAAAACAATCAAAATCTGTATTTAAATCACAATTCTAAAGTTTTCCCTAAATAAATGAAATAAGTAATATAGCCAGGAAGTATTTTTAATCTAGGATGCTAACTTTCCTGACTATATTTATTAAGCTACATTCAGTAATAGTTAAGTAGACAGATGAATGGAACAAAGTAATCCAGATATAGACCTTATATACATGAATTTCTTTTTTAATGAAAGCATCAACATAAATCAGAAGGAACAGACTTTATCTGATTTGTTTCTATTTGCCTACTTTTTTTTAACATTTCCACCCAATAAAGGAGGTATTTCATAAGATACCTCCTTATGAAGGGTTATAACTGATGCTTTACAATTGCCAAGAATGAGGCTTGTTAAAACCACTCAAGAATTAACGTCCTATGTCTACATTGCTGTGTGGATTTGGCTTTTATAATAATCTGGTGCATACCAGAGGTGAACTGATCCATATGAAAATCTTCTTTCTGTATTCTTGGTTTCCACCAAGTTTCAAATGAGGCAGAAGCTTCAAACTTTCTTAAGTCATTCCTTCATCCTTGTTCTCAGTTTCCCTTCAGTTGTCTTCCTTAAGTGTGACTGATCATTTTTACCAAATTTTTGACTTGATTTAGGATTATAATTACCTCTGAAAAGGTATCACAGTGATCTTTCAACTATTGTTTCCAAACTCTCCTTCTCTGCTTCATACCTCATACTGTCATTAGTGACATTTTTAGTGGAGACTCTCATCATGACACTTTTCCTTTGAAAAAGTCTTATATGTTTTTATTATCAATAGCAATTCAGATTCTTGGTAATGGTGTTAATCTTCCCTCACAGTCCTACCAAATCTTCTTCAATTTGTAGCCATTATGGTGTAGAAAAGGAAACTGGTTTTAGACAATCAGTTGCCCACTTGAAGCTCTTATCACAGGACCTGATATATGGTATGTGCCTTATGTGTATTACCCTCCCATCTGTTAAAGTTGTTGCACTGTGTCAGCATTCTTTGCTTTGATATCTCCCCTTGCCAGCAACAACCTTGTTTTGATTTACTTCAAGTGCCCCATACCACTGAAAAAATATAAAATGTAGTTCTCATTTTCAACCATCTGAGCAGTTTTGCAACTTACCTCTAACACCATTTAAATTTTTAAATTAGCTTATAACATAGAATTTTAATTTCAAAAGACTAAATTAAAGCATAACAATCACTAATAGTATAGACTTAAACAAACCATGTTATTTTCTATGGTAGCTCATTTATCGGGGTAAGTATGAATTATGCATCAAGCACACGTCAGCAATGATCTGTGATTCATTTTCATATCTTAAACTCATCTTACATGTCATTGAGAAACAACTTTTATGGACTGTCTTTTCCTATAGGAAAAAAACCTTGAAGATAATTTACAGAGTTTGGCTACACAATTAGCTCCAGTTTATAAGCAGTATGCTCCAGTTGCTTACCAGAACCAGGTATGTTTTAGGACCTTGTATGGTACCCTTTAAACAGTTGAAATTTCTACATAAGCAAAGTTTTAATAAAAAAAAACTTTCCAATTTGAACTTTATTATATGTTTATTTTTATTGGACAGATTTAAAATTACTTAGTTTTTTTTTAAAGTCTTGCTATTATGGTAATAGAGTAAAACTCCAGAATGACAGAATTATGTTTATTTCTAGAAATAAAACTTATAAAATCAGGAATGTATGATTGGTTCAACACATGAAAATTAATTAATGTAATAAACCATATTAGTAGAACGAAGGACAGAAACCGCCTGATACCTCTGTAGATGCAGAAAAGGCAGTGAGTAATCCAACTCTCTTTCATGATAAAAACACTCAACAAACTAACAATAGAAGGGAATTGCTTCAGTCTGATAAAGGACATCTATGAAAAACTCAACAGCTAACATCATAATTAATGATAAAAGACTAAAAGCTTTTTGCCTAATACCTAGAACGAGATGAGAATGTCTACTTTCATCACTTCTGTTAAACATTTTAAATATTTTACTGGAAGTTCTAGTCAGGGCAATTGAGCAATCAAAAGAAATTCAGACTAAAAAAGAAGAGATAAAACTCTCTCTACTTGCCAATGGTATGATCCTGTACATAGAAAATATTGAGGCATATACACACACACTATTAGAACTAACACGTGAGTTCAGCAAGGTTTCTGGATACAAGATCAATATGCAGAAATCATTGGGTTTTTATACAATAGCAATACATAATCTAAAAATGAAATTTAAAAATAGATCATCAAAATTTTTAAATCAAAAAAATATTTAAATTTTGTGCTTCGAAGGACATCATTGAGGAAATAAATGGTAGGGCGGGGGAATAAGTGGTCTAGGGGTACAAACTCCCAGCTCCAAGGTAAATAAAATTTGAGCATCTAATGCACGTGTGAATTAATAACAAGTATTATGTACTTAAAAGTTTTTACAAGATCTTAAATGTTATCACTATAAACACCAAAATGATCATAGTTATGTGAAAGGATTGAGTTCTTAGTTATTAACCTTATTGTGGTAATCGTTTTGTAATACATACATGTATCTAATCACCACATTGTATACCTTAAACTTACATATGTTATATGTCAGTAATATTTTAATAAAGCTTGGAGGGGGCAAATTTTTTTTAAAAAAGACAAGCACAGAATGAGAGAAAATATTTGCAAATCATATATCAGACAAAGTATAAATATACATTTTTTTAAACATAACCAGAAGTCCATACTTTTAAAATCTGTAGTTTATTTGTATTATGAATAACATGCTTTCTGATAAATTCCAGCTTTTCATTTAAAAATTTTATAAATTTGTGCTGGTTCATTAATATGTATGTATATCTACTTTTTATACACATTGAAAACTCTGCATGCATGATTAATGCACTATATTAGTCTTTCTTCCTAATGGAATGATTCAGGCTACTTTACTTGTGTATCCACCGTCAGCAGATACTAGTGTCCTCACCCAGCCTTCAGTCTTAGTCAGAAAGTGATTTTTAGTCTTTGCTGAAAGTGTTTTTTCCTATCTCTTAAACTGTGTCATACATCTTTTTTAGGTGGAATATGAACATGTTGCCCGAGAATGTCGGCTTGGCAGCAAAGAAGGTCGTCCTTTCTCTGGGGTCACTGCTTGCCTAGACTTCTGTGCCCATCCCCACAGGGACATCCACAACATGAACAATGGAAGCACTGTGGTATGTACCGGGGTGTCTTTTGATTCTAAAAGCTCCATTGCTATATGCTTAGGCTGAGGTCCTTAAATACGAATGTGGTAACAAATCATATTTTAGGGCCCATTTCACATAGTGTATATATCGACAGCATTAATTTAAGTGATCATTGAAGTACTTCCAAAAGGTACAGAACTAGCTTTAAATAGTATTTTGTTGCAAGTCTTGAATTATATATTCAATTGTGGTATGTTTGCTGGGAGGTGGAAATAAAAACAATTCTGTGCTATCAAACTGGTCTAGAGGAAGTTAAGCAGTTTACTTTCTTTTTGCCATCTGTACCTCAAGGGTTTTTGTAAGGGAACTGTGCCAAATTTATCATCATTTTTATGCTTATTAATTCTTAGCAGAAATATAAAATTACATTAATATTCCAAAATTATCAGAAATATTTGCATTTAGGTATCCATACTACATTCGCAGCCATAAAAAGAATCACATGATTATAGTGTAAAGTCAGTCAAGAGATACTTAGATAGAAGATCCTAGGGAAAATTATGCAATAGTCCTTCTGTAAGGAAAATGAGTTTGCTTCAAGTAATTATTTTCCTTTCATCTAGTAAAAGAGATTAATAGAGAATGATTGCCTCTCTTTTGCACTACATCAGTTTCTTCAGTCAATTGTACATGAAAGACAGCTACAGGCTCTTACGGTGTGATTTGAAGTGCACAATCTGATTATCACTGGTCAGTGAAGCTTATCAGTGACAGCTTAAGGAGATGAAGTAATGTTTTTGCATATCAGTCCTCTTCACTGATTATGACTATAGTCTTTGAGACCAGTATTATTTCTAGATGTTGAAATTCTATAAACCTGTCCAGATGAATCTTAGTCAGAAAGTGATTTATCATCATCGCTTGGTTCATCATTTTACCTGAATTGCCTCATAACAGAGTATCTGTGATCAGCCTGGATTAGATTTAGAGTCAAACCAAATTTTGGTTCCTTTTCTCTTGTGCTTCTCTCTCATATGTTATCCTTTGCTCATTCTTCCACTGCTGTCATTACTCATACAATGAGGCTCTTACCTAGAACTCGGTATAGTCCTAGATTTCTTCATCTTCGGAAACCTACACTCTTAAAATTCTACTGCCAGCTCTTCTTCCACCCTGTCTGTTTCCCCAGTCTTTCTAATTATATTCCTCATGTCTAGTTTTTGCCCACTTCTTAGCCTCCCTATGGACAAATAAATTGATTGAAGTAAACATTTACTGGTGGAAGTTTCAAATTTTTTACATAATTATTTTTTAAAAATTTAACAGATTGTACTCAAGAGAGTTCAATATTTCAAGCCTTGCAAGTAAATGTAACTATAGTTATTGAGAAAATAGTGTGATTTTTAAAACTTTTTGTTCACCTTATCATATCACCTGTATCCACCAAATTCTGTTAATCTCGAAAATCAAATCTGGCAGTTTCATTTATTTTGAGTCTTAATAATATCTCCGCTGTTTTAGAAAGCACTCTTAGCTCTGGGAAAATGTTTTTCAATGAAAAATAATTAAGCCATTGAATATCTTTTAATGGGTCTCTAATGATATTTCAAAATTATTATTAAAATATTAGTTTATGTAGGAAAATGTTAATATTAAGTATCAGGTCGAATTTTCCATATATAGTTCTATATTTTAATTTCTCTACAATGAATAAAAATAATTTAAAGAAAGGAGAAGGGCTGAGACTGGGCATATTCAAGACAAATTTTCTTAAATTGTCCTATTTCATGTCCAAAAGAAAGACAGGCAAAATTATTGATATGCTCCTAACCAGAATAGAAACAAAATGGAGCCAGGAGATAAAATTTATCAAGGTAAAATATTTTGGTTATTTTTTTAAACTATTAGAATATAAGTCCTTCTAGAAGAGGAATTCTCTTGCATTTCTTATTTTGTTTCATTAATATCTGTCTATTTATATATTGAAGAAAAAGATCACCCTGACAGAAAGAGCAGGAAAAAATATCTGTAGATAAATTCCACTTATAGATAGAAGTGAAAAAATTCTAGAGGAAACAACAAATTGTAAAATTCATCATAGTTAAGCTCCCTCTACCCAAGGAATGACATTATTTAAATATTAAGAAATAGGGTGATGTATGAGCTTGAATAATGTCTTCTTAATCGTTAATATTTAATATGAAGGCAGTGAACAATTTAGTCTAAACTGTTCCTTAACTTAGGCAATTAAATAAGATGAAGTGTAACATACAGAAGGCTTGACACTTAAAATGTCATTAAATATATAAACATGTATAATGTCGTTAACTTACGAAATCAACTCAAAATTACACTTGTCTGCTTTTAATTGATAAGTTACTATAACTGAATAGTGTTGGGTGCCTTGATATATCTCAAAAATTAATATAACAGCAATGGCCAATTGAAAATAAAATGGGAATATAGGTCCCTTTCACTATGGCAGCAAGAAGGTAGGAATAACTGCGATGAATGTGCAGGACCTATATTTTCCATTTCCTGTTTTCTTCCTATCAGGTTTGTACTTTAACACGAGAAGATAACCGCCTGTTGGGTGTTATTCCACAAGATGAGCAGCTGCATGTGCTACCCCTTTATAAACTTTCAGACACCGATGAGTTTGGCTCAAGGGAAGGAATGGAAGCCAAGATCAGATCCGGGGCCATTGAGGTCCTTACGCCCCGCCGCAAAAAAAGAACACGGTTTACTCAGCCAGTTCCTCGTTCTGGGAAGAAGAGAGCAGCGATGATGACGGAGGTTCTCGCGCATAAGATAAGGGCTGTAGAAAAGAAATTCATTCCTCGAATCAAGCGGAAGAATAACTTGATGACAAACAACAGTAAGGCTTTATCGCTGCCACTTTTAGGTAAGGCTTCAGCACTGCCACTTTTTAGGTGAGGCCTGTGGCCCTGCTAATTTTCTAGCACAACTTTCATTGGCAGAAATTTAGAGCTTCCTTTGCACCTTATTCTTCCTCTCCTTTATCTTTGCTACTCTCTTCGTCATGAGGCATTATGAAAAGATAAACTTTAGGTCAGATATCAATTAATCAATTAAGTTAGCTAATTGTTCTTATATCTCATTTGTTTTGTAATATAGCTATTTAGAGTTCAAATTATGACACTGAATATATCTCTACACATTTACTAAACGAAAGTCAACAGAAAAGCGAACTATCTGTATTTCTTAGTATTTTTTTCTATTATGTTTATTTTAAAAACATGTTCTTATTTTTTGTTCTCCATCTATTTTGAAGCCTGACTCCTTCTTCTCGGCATACATGAAATGACATCACTTCCTTAAAGTCTTCCTTGATGACTTTTAGCATCATTTTAAGTTATCTAGTCAACAGGTGTTACTGAGCACCACTTGGAAATGTTCAAGGTATTGGAAATGTTCTTGTGAAAAAGAGAGGAGATAGTGCTGTAAAAGAATTCTGTCTAAAGAGGGTTGTCAGAAGGATTCACTAAGAGTGAGACATTTGAGTAAAGTCCTAAAGGAAATGAAAATCAGCGGTGTGTTTATTTGGAGAAATAGTATTCCAGGAAGAGAAAATGGCAAGTGCAAAAGTCAGGAGGCAGGATTTTACCTGAATACATCATGTAAGCAAGGAGGCTAGTGTGGACTCCTATCGGGTTTGTACTTTAACACGAGAAGATGACCGCTTATTGGTTATTGGGAAAGTAGTAGCAGATGAGAACAGAGAGGTAGGAGGGGATCTGAGCGGTT